CTTTATTTAAATTACAGTCGCTTCTTATTTCAAACGCATTTCTGTGATTTGCTTGGACTTCAGATTCGGTGTGGTCCTTTGGGGTGGCTGGCTGGCAGATACATGTGACGACCAATGCGTTTAGCACTTTCATTTCGCTTGGCGCAAATTGCTTAACCACAATGCATGAGTGTGTGTGTGTGCGTGTGTGCGGGTATGCAAAACAGCACATCACACTAGCGCAAGCACACCAACTGACACACACACACACACACACACAAACGGAGCCATGCACTCGTATATTGCGGCATTAGCAACGTCAGTTTTGCGACTTTTCCCCGCTGTCACTATCCCTATCTCTGTCTGCATCTCTCGCTCTCTCTCTGTCTAACACTTTACAACGGCAACTCTTGCAAGGTGTCGTCAGCAGCTGTTGCTCACCGCCGACGGCTTAACGCTTTACTGCGCTTTTTTCTTATGCTATCCATGTATTCTTCTTCTTCTTAGCATATACCACAAACAGGCACAAACAGGCACACACACACACACACGCAGATTCACACGCTGATTCACACACATGTCTCACTCATTTACAGTTGCTAGGCAGGCGGCGTTGCGTTGACAGCAGCAAATTGGGAGGCGGCTGCTTGCAGCCTGCTTTTCACTCGAACCACATAAATTGAGAGAAACGTTAATGCAGATGATTCAGCTGCAGCAGCTGGCGAGATGCCTGCTGAGTGTGGTGTGCAACTTAATTAAAGTTGTACCTGCACATTCTCAGCTTATTAAACTCAAAGTCTAGACTAAAATTAATATTAATATAATTATTTTTTTTATTATTATTTATTATTTCAATACATTTTTATAGCTATAAATGAATAACTACGAATACCTCCTGATACAAAATTGCTAAATGCCCTCAATCTGGCATCTGAAATATGTGCATCATTTAAATTATGCATTCCTAATTAATCAAAATTTTCAAGCTGTAAGCTTAATACAATTCAATCTGAAGTATCCATAGGCAGTCCACGCTCTCCATTTGTATTCCAGCTGAAAACTGAACTGAACTTTCAAAAGTATCCGCAATCGAACAGCAGCTTAACTTAACTAAGTATATTTTGATTTAAATAGATTAATCTTTGGCAAATAGTGTTAATCAACAGAAAAGTAAATACGCATTAATAAATGAAACAAAGTAAATAAATAAATTAATCTCCACAAGCAAACTTAAAGACAATACCCAATTAAAGCCAATTGCCAAATTCTGTACTTAAAGTAGGCTCCTTATTGGCTTGTTTGGCATTTACTCACCAATTTACTAGCACTCAAGCACACACACACACACACACACACACACCACACACACACACACACAGATACGCACTCTGGACAAATCTTTTGTTTTCAGTTTTATTTGTTAGTATAGTAGACACTAGGTTCAGTTGAGTTGAACATTGTTTGGGTTTTGAGGTGTTATCCCATTTATGGCCTGGTACAATTTGTTACGCATACGCCACGGGCCTCAAGCAAGTTGATTAAATTGAAATTTTCTACGTTTTCTGAGCTCAGTTTGACTTTACTGCACCTGCAATTGTGGTCTTTTACAATAGGCTTTTGATAAATAGTTCAGTCTTTTGTTGCATCTCCGGAAGCATGCACTCATTTACTCACCACAAATGCAGTTACCTTCAGAAACACACACACACACACGCGCACACACACACACACACACACACGCACACACACACACACACACACACGCACACTAACAGAAATACGAAAACACTATTGTATGCTAACCGCAGGCAGTTGCTTGTTATATTACCTCTGCTGTGAATGTCTTTGTCAATTTAAACGAAGTTGCATAACTGTTGGCTGGCTGCAGGGTAATTGCAATTAATTGACACAGAATTATTATCTAAGGCAACACCGTCCCTCTGGCCTGCGACTATGTTGTAATATTCATGAAAATTAATGCTAAACCAAAATCGAAAGATAAATAGTATGATGATTAATGGCCAAGTCTATTTGGCTATGACTAACAATTACCAAAATAATACGCCAATGGCTGCTCAGCCCGTTAATCATAGCTTAAAGCATAAGAAACCATTTAAGAGCCTAATCAAAAATATATTTTGCTAACAAGCTAATAAATTACTTACACTTTACAAAATTGCTAGGATTAGATACATATCCATTTACATCTCTTAGATGCCATTTAAATAAGTTCATAATTAAGTGAGTCTGTAAGTCTCTTTGCAAGATTTCACATTTATTTAGTTATGTAAGTTTATATTTCTACTCCAACCAAAACTGAAATGAATTGAAACACACAAAGGAATATAAATATATATATATATATATATATATATATATATATATGTTAATGTGTTCTATTTTGTATGCTTATGCGTTCGATTTATTAAAAATTAGTAGCTTTAAGTTTGCGTGCTTTACGAATTATTGTGGCAAGGTGGCCAACACCATTAATTGTCCCACATTCACAGAACAACCTGTCGTTAAGGTAATTAGCGAATGGGTCTTCTTTTACTCAAAACGTGTTTATAAAATCATACACTCAATTAGAATATGTATGTAAATAATTGTTTGTATTTGTGTTTTGTATATTTGTAAATACCTGTTTGTATTTGTTGTAATTGAAACATTAATTGCAGTTAGGGCGGTAATAAAGAGGGAGATAGGATAGGATGGATTAAAACTACGAATTGATTCAAGAAGTTAATTGATTTTTTAATCTATGCACGACATCTTATCGCTGTCCAGAAAATTAGAAACATGTACATAATAATATTTGGAATCATTCGTTTTATATAGATCCATGAATTTGATTAAGAAAACTCGCAAATGATTCAACTTTCTCTGCAGCTATACAATCAAAGTTTTGTGCTCTGCAAAAGTCTGTTCCGAATTGAAACTTGGTTTGTTGCGATTTCATCTTCAGCTCAATGCTATTCCATTTCTATGTCTGACATAAGCGTTTCTGGCTTTATCGTCATGCTTTTGTGGAAATGTCATTTAGCTGTTTGTTACCTTGATTATGGTTCAACTTTATTTTCACTATAACTCTTTGGACGCAATGGCAATTTGATAAAAGTTTGTTTCAGTTTTCTAGCATTCACTGAAATACATATATATTCCTTATTACATTTATTTTTTCTTAAAGTTGTTATGCCAATTTAAGCAAACTTCAAGTTGCACTTACATTTTATGTCACATATATGTATAGGGTAAGCTCAGAAATCTCGTGAATTCCAAACGGAACAAAATTAAATACGAAATAAAAATTGTAAATAATTTATTTTTATTTTCTATTTTACGACATGAGTGATCCACGCATTCGCTACTTGAAGAAGTTGACCAACACTGTGCTCTTCTTGCTGAATCGCCAGCAGTTTCACATGCATCAGATTGATGTGGAACAGGACCGCCTCAAGGCATCCATTAATCGATCTGAAGCGAACCATAAGAAACTGGAGCACATGAATCTAATTCGCGAATATCAACTGCTGCTGACTGAGTGCTCAAGTCAGCTGGATAAACAGCAGAAGAAACTGTATAAATATCTTGAAATGCATCCGGATTTGGAGGATGTTAAGCTATATCAGCAGGCTGATAGTGACTCAAAGGATTCGCTCTCCACAGCCTAAATAACTGGACCACAATAAAGCTACAAAGTTGCAAAATTACACAAAAATTACATTTTATATTAAGTTCAACAAGCTCTTAAGTTCAAAAAGGACTTTTTGCAAAAGGATGGAGAACTAAAAATTTGTTTCACTCTTGCGAACTCCAGGAAAGGTCGCTCTCCTTTTAAATGTACTTGGGCACGTCGATCATAGGATCGAGTTGTAGATGAAAATTCATGGATTTCTGGCTTAAGGGTGATTTTATGTTTCATCCATTTAATGAAGATGTTTACTCTTTACCTACTTTCATTTCGCTCTTCCATAACTTCTGATGAAATTCGCCAAGTGGCCTGAGAAAAGCTTGAGCTTGTCTGGATTATATCTCCAAGCATGGAATATACCACAATAGTATGCATTGCCATTATACTCTGTAGTGTGCCTGTAAAGTCGTTGCAAGTATAATTATAATCTAATTGTTTTGCTGCGATGGATCGCTGATAACTCTGTTCATATTATACCCTTTGCTGTTCATTTGTAAGGGGTACAAAAGGCCTTAAGCCAAAGTAATTTTTAGCAAACCACAAGTAACTGTGAGCAGCGTACAAAAGTAGTAGTAGCTACAAGAAATGGCGAAAGAAGAAAGAAACTTTGCAACGAGCAGTGGCGTCACAGAAATTAAAATAAAGTGCCAAGAAAGTAAAAGGTAAGCGAGTGCTGGCTACATTCATGCTGGCCATCTTGAAGATGGTCAAAGCCATAGTTGCAGCAACGGCAACTTCCGTTCCCTAACTTTTTCCTTTTCACGGCGTACTGTTGCCAGTATGCGTGTGACCGTCCACACACCCCTGCCACTCCTCTCCACTGCTCTCGTCTCGTCTGCTCTGCTTGCCACTAGTACCTGCCACACTTTTAGCGCACTTTTAATAATTTTTTAACTCATTTTGCACTCGAGGAACACAACAACAACAACTGCCGCTAACATTTCACCTTTTGGCGTTTGATTCACGCATTGGCTAAGAGGCGAGTGCAAAGTTTTGTGGCACAAAAGTGACCGAAAAGTTACGCTCTTTCATTTTCTAAGGATTCAGAGCCAAATCGGGTTAAGAGTCAAATTATGCAATTTACGCTAACTGACGCATCAAGCCATTTCAGACGCAGCTGCGAGAACACAAACGATCCAGCTAAGAAAGCGCATTTCATCCACCTACAATCTGGTCAAAGGTTACCAGTAAGATGGAGGAGACAAGAACTGATGAATCTCTGCGAACTGTTCCAAAATCTAAAAATCCTTGAACAGATGGTCGATTTAGCCAGCTCATAATAAAAGTGAAACAATTAATTAATTTAAAATTGAAAGACTAAAAAACGAAATGTGATTAAATTAATTTTATTATGATAAATATATATTTTAGTGACGGGTATTTCGTATCTTTTAGTCGATAACTTTTAGTTTATAACCTTTTCATTAATTTCAATTCATAGTTTTGACAACAGTTTCAGTTGATTACTTTTGACTTAATTTCCTAGTCTGATCCAATGTAACAATGCTTAATACTATTTCATAGACTTCACTTAAATACAACAGCCAACAAATGCTGTAAAAATTTCTCAACTTAAACGCTCAAGTTTTCAATGCGTTCTATGAGCACAGCTTTGGTTGTAGATTTTGCAGGACGAACGTCAAAATGTTGATCAAGGATAAAACGCAGCTGCTCGGAAGTGCAGCTGCTCAGACGCTTATCCTCGATCAGCTGCTTGACAATGTCAAGGCTCTTAAGTTGCTCCTCATCGATTTTGGGCATTTTAGCGGCGCTTTCATCACTTGCACTCGACTTGGCGGCACGCTTCTTGGCCGGCTCAACTTCGGGTCCAAAGATTTTGTCGTAGAGCGGCAGAAATTTCTCAATACGCTTGTCCTGCACAGCAGGATCGGGCAGCTGACTGATGCCATCCTGCTCCGTTTTAATGTTCAAGGCCAGAGCGAGCAGATTGGATTGCAGCACCTCCAGATTGGGATCATTGATGAAATTGGGCTGATAGTCAACGCTCAGTCGCTTGATGACCTTCTGGAACAGTTCGACGCCCTCGTCCGATGAGGTGTTCTTAATGCTGTTCCACTCGCACATATCGATGTTGCGTATGTGTTTCGCTTCCGGCAAGTAGACAATCTTAAAGCCATCTCCCGAGAGCAGCGAGCGATAGTTTGTGTCATCCGGTTGGGCGGCCTCCACGGGCAACAGTGCCACATAGCGTGGCACAGACTTGCGCTTGCACATGAACAAGCAAATGGCGATCTTCTGGCGCTCCAGACACCGCTGCCACAGCGCACGAAACAGTCGCTTGGAGCCAACGATGTTCTGGTCATCCGGATACATAAAGCTGCACGGTTTGCTGTAGTGGATGTCGGGCAGCGCGGAGCGATGCTTGAAGCCCAGCAGCATCATGCCAGGCGGATGCAGATTGCGCACACGATTCAGCTGCTCTGTGGTCACGCGCAGCACCTGATCGCCCACGCGACACTCGTGCCAGCCGCCCGTCGTCTTGATCTGGTACTCGTGCGTTATCTCCTGCGTCTCCTCGTCCTGTTTGCGCACCATTATCATGCGCTTCTTGCGCACAACGCTGTTGTCGCGCCGCAGGATGTGCACCTTGTTGGGGTAGGCGCGACGCTGGAAATAGTTGTAGAACTGCACGGATATGGCCAGGTTCGGGCCCAGCGACAGGTTAAAGTGGCCCAAACAGCGACGCAAAAAGTCCTGCCTCAGTTTGCGATCCTCAAGTATTTCGCGCTGCAGCTGAGCATCCGGCACACGAAATGAATCTATATCAATGGCTGCAAGTCGGATTTGTGATTAGTCGCTAGTGGAATTTATAAGCTTCACTTTGCTCAACATTGCAGCTACTTAAGTTATTATCTAATTTATATTTACATTCTTGGCGCTTATCCCTGTTTGAATTTTTATACTCTGATGCCGAAATTATTAGATAAATCCACATATCTCCCACAAATTTAAAGTTGGTCACCAAATTTGAAAGGCAAGTTGCTAATAATAACCTTCAAAATATGGAAACAACATTTGCAAACACGCCTATTCCCGCCCCGATAATTGTTGAAAGCCCATATCTCCTGCAATTTAGGATCTACAGTTACGAAACTTGGCAGAAAGATTGACAGGAAACTCGTCCAAAATTCAGAAAATCTTATTTTTTTTCCGTACATTTTATAGCCAAACTTGCAGGGTTTATGACTAGGACCCTCCTTCAAAGATCGGCATTTCTAGTCTCTTGGGCCAGAATAGAACCTTTTGCACCAGTTATCAGATGGTTTGACTTATTGGTATCAGAGTATTTCGCAGTCGGTTACGCCCGACTGCAACGTTCTCACTGGGCTTTCTTTGATTAAAGTTGTGGGCAAATCCAAAAGCACATTCGACAACAACTCGAGTTGGATGCGAGTGAACATTTGCCCAGTTTACTGTGCGAAATCTTAAAACCTTTTTGGCTACAACTCAACGCCAACCAGGGGAACAGATTCCACAAAAATATATATATAATATAAATGCTACACCCAATCTGAAAGTGATCTCCTACCTCTGGACAGAGTTATGAACTCCTTGTAGAAGGGCTCGTAGTCAAAGTCATCGATCATGGGTATTACTTGAAACTCGAACTCTTTGCCCTCCAGATCGCTAGCCTTTTGCAGGGCCGCTTGGAACTCGCGACTGGACTGGGGATGTGGCTCTTCCACGTCCGTGATGTAGACAATCTTGGCATTGTTCAGTTTCTTGCCGCACTTCTCCAGCAGCTCGATGCACAGGCGTATCATGTACGCGTAGCTGCCACGCCCATCTGGCTGCGCCAATCCGTATTCGCTGGCAAACAGCTCCTCGGCACTGGCCATGAACTCGAGGAAATGCTCCACAATCGCTTTCGTCAGTTGGCGCATCGGCAGAAAAATGGCGCAATTTGCCGGAACAACAATATTTTCCAGGCACTGTTTCTCCTGCGGCGGCGGGCTGTGCGCCGTGTTAGCGAACATCAGACCCATCAGATCCTTGCCATTGACCAGCATGCCGGATATAAAAGCGCCGCGTATTAATTTCAAAGCGTCCATCAAACGATCAGTCTGCAAAAATGAATTTTTTTTATTTTTCATTTTTGCATTTTTATTTTGCGCACCTTTAAATTGGCGTCCACAACAAAAAGTATCGCCTCGCGTCCATGGAAGTCGCGCTTCATTGCTATCTCATCCTCGGAGTCGGTTAACTCCACATCGTGCTCGGGATCCCATGTGCTCATTTTTAACTATTTATTTATTCTTAAATTTTGTGCGCGAATTTCACAACGAAAACAATAAAATGACGCCGGCAACCGGTTAGTGTGACCACACCGCAAAACAGCTCAAAATACAACAGTGCCTTTTGAGTAAAAGTAATTAGTTCTAAAATGTGCTGGCAGATGGCGCAACTTTCTGCTTACATCAGTCGTAACCATCTATGTCTCATGAATAAAAATTTTAATGTTAATTTTGTATGCTCCTCATGTATATTACGCGTGAAGTTGGCTGCGCGCAAACTTGAGAGCCAACTTGAAGTAAGCTGCGTGCCAGGTTATTACTGTCAACTGCGCGCCAACTTTAAAATGCACGATATATGTGAAGGAAAATCTTGAATTTATTTGTAACCATTTCGTATAGAAATTTATATTTTATTTATAAATTTTATTCACAGCCAATTAAAGTTGATCAATTAAAAGGTAAATAATCACGAAAATTAAAAGGAAATGCGAAGCATCCAAAGTAGGCGCAGACGATTTCGGTTTCTTTACCGTTTTGGACAAGAGAATCACCTGTGGTGGAGCTACGGGCTGTGGTGATTGCTGTTGATTAGGATACACTATAGCTAAGGCCGTTTTCGGATCAGAACCAGAGGCAGGAGCAGGCGCAGGAGCAGGAGCTGCAGCTGGAAGAAAAGCTGCTGCGGGAACTGGAGCTGGGCCAGGACCAGGAGCAGGATGCAACAGAATGGTTTGTGTGTGAGTTCCATTTGACTTGGTGGTGCTGATTACGTGTGTGTGATTGGGCGCAGCCGGAACGTTAGATGTGGCAATTGGAACCATTTGCGCAGGCACCACTATTAGCCGAGGATTAGCTTGTGGCTGTCCATTGGGACAGATGAGACGCACCGTTTCTGTGATCAGTTTGGGGTTGCCTGCAACGGGTTCCCTGATCGTCTGCCTATAGCAACCATTGGCATCCAGCACACCTGCCTCCACGGGTCTCGCCTGGCTGCCAACATTTAGCAACGCGGTCAGGAACAGAACTTTCGCTTGATGAATTTTTGGCATTGTCAACTCGAGTGTTGGCTGTGCTCTGACTTGAGAAAGAAATGAAATGACTAAAGAGTGAAATGATCTAATCGACTGAATCAACTGCTCGCTGTCGAAATGTGGCTCCCTCGTTGTAAATATTTGCTCAATTGTTTCTTCTTTTGTGTCTCAAGTGCCACAGCCACAAAAACTCGTGACTGTTTTTTGGGTAAGTGTATTACTGGTAATTTTTAAGTCTGATTATATTATTTTTCACCTAAAACTTTTGAATAACTGGTATTAAATATTAGCAGTGCAATCTGATTAGTTTGCGTAGATAAAAAATAGATGTGAGTCTTGAATTAAATTTTTCAATTAAATGATTGCCGAAACTGAGCACATTAATTAATTTGTAATAATTGTGAAAGAAACTTAAGATTATCTCTGATTATTTTAATTTCTATCTTGTTCTCAATACTTTTCATGTTTAGTTTCTTAATTTTACAGCTTCGTACATTTCTTTAAAACTAAATAATTATAAATTATTATAATAATATTATTGAAACGAAGAAAGAATTGTTTTCTAAGTAAGCTTTGTGGCTAAATAGTAATATTTGATACATTTTTAATTCGCACATTTGCGTTATTTCCCCCTCAATTTGAGAGAATATTTTAGTCATAATTATTATTAATATTTCTATTGTATTGGATTAATAATATTTTTTTAAAGCGTATATTTGATTATTTCTTACAAACATTTTACGCAATGCTTTCTCCAGCTTGTATTTGGCACTTGAAAGCAAGTCCAACTGAGACCGAGGCCATGTCAGGGACTGTGAAATGAAGCTGGAGTCAATCCCACGCCAGGCCAGATCAGCCAGAAGCAAACGAGATACGTATATATAGAAAGAGAAAGAGAAACAGAGAGAGATAGAAGGAGAGAGCAGCTAGCAATAGATATAAAGTAAAGTCTCAGCCACATGCGGTCGCGGTCATATTTGGCTTATTATAAATGACTGAATGTGAACTGCCTGTCATGTTTTATCTTTATTTTCGTGCATTTCTGGACACATTACACTGGGAATAGCAGAGAGTGCGGGAAGTGGGTGGAGGGGGGGATGGGGAGGCTGCTGCCGGCGTGTCTGCACATTTTCCATTTGCCAATGTTGTTTTTCTTTTTCTTTTTTTTCATCATTTTTTTTTTGTTTTTTTTGTTGTTGTTGTTGTTCTTGGCCAGGCACAACATGATGATAATGGCGCTTGCAGGCCGACTGACGTTTCTAACAAAGTGAGTCGCATTAAGGATAATCGAGGCAACTAAAAGCAAAGCCAACAACAACAGCTACATGAAACAAAGCAGAGACAGCGACAGCGACGACTGCTGATGGGGCACGATTTGCGCGTCATTATCCTTGCAGGCAGCAGCGTGTCTGCTGTGTGTCTGTGTCTGTGTGTGTGTGTGTGTGTATGTGAGGGAGTGTGTGTTAGTGTCCTTTAGCCGCCAGGCCTGAATGTCCATCAAGTACGGAGACGCTGCAACGCGTTGCGCCTAGCTGGCCCGTTGTCCTTGCCGCATCCTGTGCCTGACATTTTCGTCGTCATCGTTTGGCGTTACACAAATGATTTATGGCCAGCTAGCCAAACTGAAGAGCAGCCCACATCCAAAATCCAAAACACACCCCAGCAGCCCCCCCACCCACTGACAATGTGAAAATAGTAGCGCTGCAATTGACAATTGTCCAGGGCCAGAACTTTGAAACTTGGCCAGCAACAGCAACAACACACTCGATAGCTAAGCAAATATTTATTAAGCAAATTAAAGACGCGCTGGCAAATCCCACGAAACAAATGACTTGAGATATTTTTGGAGAGGCTCAGCGAAACCTTCAAAATGATACAGCACTTTCTCTACCCATTGGCCAGTCGAATTATGCGCTCTAACGCGCCGCCCCAATCCCAATCCCAATCCCAATCCCAATCCCAATTCTAATCCCAATCACCAAGTCGTCATTAGTCAATGCTTTAAGCCCACATTTCTGCCATGGCTATGAAACACTTGGCTCTTGTCAGTCGCCTGTTTGTTTGTTGGTTGTTAACATAAGTTAAGTTGCGTGTCTTTTTTGTTTGGCCACAAAATGATCACAATTAAATGGAATGCCTCACGTGCCACTGCAATGTGGCAGCTGCTACTACTGTCTTCTGCCGCCTGTCGGCTGCCATGTTGCCAAAAATACTATATGGATACTAAGAAAGCAAAAAAAAAACACAGATATAAATTAAAAAGGGCGCCGCTTATATGAAATGAGAGCGAGCGAGACAGCAACAGCCATATTGAGACTTGAGCTCATTAAACAATTAAATTTTTTATTCAGTTTTTGGTAATTTTTTGGCTTCAAATCACACCACTTTAAGCTGGCTCACAAAAAAAGCACTGTCTGCACTAGCCATGCATATGGCTTTTATGGCTTTTTCACATTTTATCAGACCTTGCCACACTTTGTTGTTATTTTGAATCGAAAATTGCATATGACTGCCGTACAATGGATTATTGAAAGGAACTCAACGATCCTTCTAGGGTTGAAAGTACCACGATGTCCATTCGAAAACAACAAACAATCAGAGAAATAACTAAATCAGCTACAGAAGCGAATTCCAAATCTATAAAAAAAAATAATATTTTCGCAACATATTTCATTTAAGGGCACACCAATAAGGATGCAAATATCCTTCAAAGAATATTCAGTTATTATTTTAATTTAAATTAAATAAATTTTCAACATTTCTTTCTTTAATACTCATATTCAATCGATATTATTTAGATTGTTATATACTTTAAACATTTGTATTTTTTTCCTTTTATATTTTATTTAGCTTGCAAAAAAAAAGAAGAGTTTAAATTAAATTCGAAATGCTTTTCCACAGATTCCTATGACGTATGTGGATGTTAATGATGCGTTCAGGCGACCTCAGAGGCGTCTCTCCACTAGATGTGAGCTAAAATTTTAGCAGACAATTTGGTAAGCTGTCAGCGGCACTCACAACGACGGTGGGGCAGGGGCAGGGGCCGGGGCCGGGGGCGTGGCTGAGCTGGCATAGAACACAGACAACGCCGGTTGAGAAAATGCGCAGCTAATGACTGTCTACAAACGCCAGCGAGCAAAGACATCAATCAAACTGAATTGAATCAACCCCGCAAGGCGAAGCAGTCAAGTTGAGGGGAGAATGATGTGCGGGGGGTGTGGCAAGAAACGGGCACTAGGCTGAAGCTTAAACAAATAAAGAAAACTTATAAACTCATTCAAATCATATTTAAAAATCATCGAGCAGCAGCAGCAGCAGCAGCAACAGCTGGCCACAAGGCACAACTGTTTGGTCCATGCATGAATTATTTCTATGCAGCTTATCAAACGTGACCAAAATGGGCAAAAAGTTAATAAAAAAATATATATATGAAAGCAAGGGGCAAGGTGTCAGCTGGCTGACAAAGGGGCTGGACAACAGCTGGCCGGTATTCGAACAAGTGTGCGAACAAACTGTGATAACTGTCTGAGCATTCGGGACACTCACAGGCTCCACTTTGAATGCAAGTGAGTGTCGACTTATGAGTGCTCGCCTGCTGGAAAAACTAGGCCGGGCCACACATGTTCTTGCCCAGCTGAAGGGATGTTATTATCTTTTGCCTGACCACAAGACGTGTCAACGCGACGTTGCGTATACGCGACGTTAGTTCCAGATGCACAATGGACACACACACACACACTGGCATACACATATATGTTGACCATATATAAATCATGTGATAGAAAAAGTTTTTGGGCTTCTGAAGCTGCTGCTGCGGACAGCATAAGTTGACTTGCATCCACAATATATATATTTGTTATTTCTTTTGGCAAGCGGCTTACAAATTTTATAGTAATATATTCCAAGCGGCTTATTGACCTTGCGTATAGGTAAGTAACTACCCAGAATCACCCTAGAAATGTGTTGCGGTCAATTTACAGCCAGGGTCTGGCAACGTCTTTGCTTAGTTGTGGTCATCAGGATTTCTTCTGCTTAAAGTGAAACGATTACGTTTGAAGTAAGCTACCAATGACACCAGCTTAAGCTGGTGAGCTTGCAACTTTCTTAAATAAAGTGAGCTTTCAATACATTTAAGCTAATTTGAAAGTTTCGTGAGTTGTCCAAGATGAACGGTATTCGGATAAATTGGAAATATCTCACAGAAAAGCGACGTTAAAACTACTTCCCGGAGTTATTGAGCTCCTAGTGCATCCGGAAGCTTTCAATGTAATAATGTTGTAATCAGAGAAAAGAATGGTCTTCAAAATGGTCTTTAAAAAGCTTCATACAACATTGAACTCACCTTATTAATAAAAAAAGTATATTTATAATATGGAGGTTGTGTGTATTTCTAATAACCAAGGGTTTTCTTCTCTTAATTCTAGATTAACAAAATTTAGAAATAATTTGTTTAATTTGCAGTTTTATTTTATGTATTTGTACACATTTCTCTTTTGTTACTTAAATTATTATTAAAATTTCGTGGCTTAAGATTTTAGATAACTTATTTAATTTGAGATAACTTATAAATGCATTTAATATAATTTGAAAACATTTTGCCGAATATCAGAAAGGATTTTTCTAAAAATAACAGTTAAAAATTTAACTTTAAAAAAATTTGTTATATTTTAAAGAAAAATAATTCTGACAAAGGCCTTTCTAATTTTTAGAAAATTTACATTCGTATATTTAGAAATGTTTTGTAGTCAAGTCGATTTCTTCAGAGTGTACGTAAAACAAGTTAAGTAAGTTGTGTTTTAAGAAATGTTAAAAAAGCAGGTTTCCTAACACTTTATTTCTTACTGTTCCACAAGACAATTACATTATTTTTTATTCTGGCGGGGAATTCTGCTTGACACGCAAGATTAATTGAATGATTAAATGGCATTTACTGTCCACTGTCATTGGATTGCGATTTGAAGAACATTCAACTGCTGGGTGTGTATGTGTTTTGTGTGTGTGTGTGTGTGTGTGTGTGT